GGCTTGTGGCTAACCTCCTTAGCTGGCGGAGACGGACAAGACAACGATGGATTCGATAGAATGGCATAAAGACTGTAGGGATAAGGTAGTTATGGTAAAAATTGGTATTCCCTTGAATTTCCCTTTTGACCGTGTGACATGAGGAAGGATTTTGCCGAGTGGTGTATTGATTGATCTGTGAAAATCCATCCTGTAATGCCCAGTAGATTGCGATTGATTGATATTTCGTCGAACAATAAATTCACGGGCCTCAAAGCTCGCAAAAACGTTCACCGATTCACAGGTATCTTACCTGATTCGCTTGACTCGTTCAATTTGGTAATGGAACGCTTCCCCAAATTGACTAAACCTATTCAGGAGATCAACCTAATGACACATCGTATGGCTCATCACATAGCCACTAAAGAACCACCAGTCACGGCAGGACCTCGCCGACTGGCGCCGGACAAATTAGATTTCCTAAACGTGAGTTCGACACTTTGCTTGCAAAACGCATTGTTCCTCCTACTCACAGTCCAATGGCCTCTGCTTTACACAAGGTTCTTGAAAAAGACGGCATTAGCTGGCGACCATGTGGTGATTATCGAGTTTATTGATCGATCTGTGANATAAACGAGTGAGTATGTCTCCCTAGCTGACAGTTGCCATATATTTTAACCCCATGCGACTCAAGTGTATCACTTGGCTTACGATCGCTTCTACCTCACCCAGAATGTTTTTCTTCCGCAATTCATCGTTTTATACCGATTACCCTTCATGTTTTTCATCTTTATACATCCCTATACGTATCTACGCTTACGTTGTCATTCTACGGAGATGTATCACTCTGGGTTTATTAGTGACCTTGAAGTTGAAAGTGGTTTACGCTACAATGTGAAATAGAGCGTTAAAACAACAACTTATTCCACCCAACAATTCCCTATCATACTTCGCTTTCACAAACATCATGACCATTTTCCCAGATCTTGTTGTGTGTTATATGAGGCCATTGTTATCGTACCTTGTCTGCCATGATCGTGGACCACATGCATGTCTCTCGTTGTAATCCGAGAAATATACCATTACGATTCGTACCTCACTTGTTTTAATCGCGAACTGGTCGCTCACATTGGGTTCGTTCGTGTGCAGCGTGAAGGTGGGCGTGCTGTTCTTACCCAGGCTTATTTGCTTCCGTTNCAGTCAATCTATCTCGGTTCCACATTTCGTGAATTTTACGTTCCATTTACCCAGCACCACTCGCCTCACACATACATGAACATTTGACATTCCACTCCCCTTGTATATTTACGCATCGACTCTAACATTTGACTGTGTTTGTTTATCTGCTTCATTCGTGCTTCACTTGTTTTAATCGCGACCTGATCGCTCACATTGGGTTCGTTCGTGTGCAGCGTGAAGGTGGGCGTGCTGTTCTTACCCAGGCTTATTTGCTTCCGTTCAGATTTGTTGAATTACGCTCACGGTAACACTTAGCTCTTGTTTTCAAGTTGTTTTGAGATCACTTTGAGGTTTGTACAGTTTTTATTTGCTTCTTTGATCGTGAAATAATGCAGTACCGTAGAAAATGGCTGGATCGTTCGTTTTGTTGACGTTTTTGGATCCGATTTTGGCTACGCGTTACTTGTTGGTCTATTTGGGAGAAGGTACTGAAATTCGCACAATTTGGAACAAGAGACTGTCGTTCGACTAGGGAAGGATCGAGGAGGAAGGACGAAAGTAAGTCACTGGGGAATTCGTGGTGGGGGAGGGAGTTCCTGAATCTCACATTTTTAATTTAGTTAGTTCTGTTAGTGCTAGGAGTTTATGTGCCCTAAATTGCGATGCTGATATTAAGATGTCTGATATTTATCTCCGTAAGATTGTAGAGTTAGAGCAAGAGATTAGATCAATGACGCTTGGGAAAGCAGAGGCTAGAAAACCTTGCTCGACTAAGCATGCCACGACGGAAAAACAAACCCCGTCCCCTAGACTGACACCGGAATTGGCTCAACCACCGAGTGAAGTAATGTACCGCCACATTTTGATAGACGTGCCCAAGTTGGAGCTAATGCCATTTGACGGGAACCCCAGCAACTATTGGAGGTTTATTAGAGACAGTTTTGTAAACAACGGTGTTGATTGTTGCTTTTGTAGCTCGGGTAGTATAATTTGATGTTCAGTTGTTCGCCGAGATTGGCAAATGTATTGCAAACGTTTCTTCACCAATTGAGGTGAAATTCTCAATGCAGTAACTGGGTGAGCGCTTACGAGTGTTCTCTTCCTTATATAGGTCATTGAGTTATGTGGCGTTGCCTGATTGGCCAAGGTAACGCTTAGACTGATCGATCAACGGTCACCCG